CTTAGTCGACATAACCAACACAAAGGCATTAATCACAGACACCCAAGTCAATGTCAGCTGTAAATCTATCTCTAGAATCCAGAAACTAACAGACTATCATCCTAGATAAGAATCTGAGCAGTATATGTCTATAACAACCCAAATCCCGAGCACAAAGCACAAATCCAGGATAATACTCGACAAAGATTTGTAAAGCCAGTTTTATATAATGCCATGGGCGGCAAATATATATATATATATGAGTTCAAAGTAAATATACATACAAACCTAACTAAAAGAGAATGCACAAAGAAAAATAGAAATGAACACAAATCTACCGGTTTGTCAACACCGGTCTAATAACAATTCACCCTGGATCATCCCTATGCAAGATCCATAGTTGTTATCTAAGCTAATCCACTATAAAAATGAGGTTGGTGGAGTTTGGAGATCAAAAACCACACCCAAAACCATTACCATACAAAATGAAATGAAAATGAAATATAAATAAATTTTGATCCGCAACCATCGCCTGGAGACACAAACACGTCACCTGACGATGCTACCTAAACTCTTGGCCCAGCTTGCGTCACGCAGGTAGTTGGGGAAAATATCTTCTCTCGCCTGGCGACAGATACACATCGCCCGACGACACTTCTCCTCCTCACCAAGTGACACAACAACAAAACAAGGCAGAATCAACTGGAAAATTGGTCATCCCTCGCTCCATCATCGCCCGACGACGCAGACGCGATGCCCCTCTCTAGGCCATCTCCCGACGATGCACATCAGTCCATCAACTTTTGTTGTTTTCACTGCACAACTTCAAATGGCTATCTCTCTTTTGCCTTATTCTTTTATTGATCCAACAATGCATCTTGGAGATTTTATTCCTCTTGATCCAACAATATTCAAATACTTACAAAATGAATACAAAACTATCAAACGATACACTTTATACACGAAAACGCATTATACACAAACTAAATGTATTTATACACAAAGTTGGGTTATTCAACTGATATTAACAACAAAGAGTCGATAAGTGCAACAAAAAGTATCTACAAAAATAACTACAATTTACACTTATCAATGTTCATACCCCCAGTGCGAGAAAGGTCAGGATGTTGTTAACATACTAAGCTCCATCGAAGGGGCAGTATAGATGTCCATGTGATTTTCACACTACCCATATTTTTTACATACACTCTTGAATCTTGGACCATGGGCAATAAGTAGTATCTTACTCTTAAAACTTTATTGGCTAAGGCTCTAGACTTGAGGTGTTTCCCAAGGATGCCCTCGTGTACCTCGGGAAGTGCATATGTGGCTTCTTCTCTTTTGATACATTTCAGCAAAAGGGTTGACAAGCCTCTCTTATACAATGCCCCTTCTATGATATCATATGAACTATATCTCCTCTTTGCGAGACTAGAATCGATGGGAAATACACCATGTTTGATATACGCCATTATTTACGATATCCAGGAAGACTGTGAGGTACCATTCATTATTTCCATCACCACTTTAGAAGTTTCTATGCTAGGTCTGCCTAAGGTTTCCTATATAAAGGAGTGGTTGATCCTTGCAGTTCTTGTTTTTTTAGCTTGGACAATACATTTTCTCTAGTGTTATGCTCCTTTTGGATATGCATGATCTCGTATGACCTAAACCTAGTCGGCTTCTCTCTTGTTAGGGAGACATACTTTTATAGAAATGGATCTTTGGTTTACGTTTATCCCTTGACTTTGGATTCAACTATTTCTGATTTCATACATAAATTAACATCTTTTGCCCCAATCTTAGATCTAACATGAGGCTGACGATGAAGGCCTCATATTTTCCTGGTTGTAAGTAATGGTGAACTCAAAACCTAAGGATACTTCAATAATCAACCTAATCTCGCTCTCTACTATGAGATTAGCATCATTGTTTACAAGAAGTCTTAAAACACTCGAGCCTTTAGTGCCTTCCTTGGCTCGAAGGCAATGTTGAATTCAAAAATATCAATAGACAACTTTGTCATATGTCATGCGTGATCTAGATTTTGAAGAATTTTTTTAAGGGTCTAATCAGTTTGGACGATGGTGGTGTGCACAATGAAGTAATGTTGTAACTTTCTTGAGGTCATTACTACCTCTTATGAGATCTTATTTATCTTCTGGCAACACATTCTGGCCCTGGCAACCTCTAGATATGAAGTATAGTGAGTTTTGAATAGATCCTACTTCTCGGATGAGGACAACACTAGTGCTTCGATAGATATAACTAAGTAGAGGAATAAGGCCTCATCGATTGCTATATAAAACTAGCAGGGAAGAAAATGCTAATTTTAGGGACACGTATGCTTGTTCACGTTCTAGGGCCCACTCAATGAATTCTTATTTCCTTAGCAACCTATAGAATAAAAAAATGTGTGATTTGACCTAGAGATGGACTTGTTGCATGAGCATCTCATTCACATTCATTATCCCTTTCTTCATCGTTGGAGCCTCTAATTTGATCACCACTTCACACTTGTCTAAATTAGCTTATGTGCCTCTCTCTGTTAAGTAAAAACCCATTAATTTGTCAGCTTTAACCCTTAAAGTGAATTCCTCAAGGTTAAGCCTCATATTATACTATCAGAATCATCTAAACACGCTAGCAAGGTGTTCATTATTGTTTTCTTCTTTGTTGGATTCTATGATCATGTCGTTCATGCATATCTCTAGTGTTTCGCTGATCTCTTCTTTGAAGATCTTATTCATTACCCTATGATATGTTGCACATGGGTTCTTCAAGCTAAGGGGCATGACGTTGTATCGCTAATTGAAATGTTCAGTCATGAAGGAAATTTTGTCTCTGTCTTCTCTGTGCATATATATGTGTTTATATTCGGAGTACATGTCCATGAATGACAATAGTTTATATCTAGTGGAATTACCTACCAACTTGTGAATGTAAGGTAAGTGTATACGACCTTTGGGACAAGCTCGATTGAGGTCGGTGTAATCTTCACACATCCTATATTTTTCGTACAACTTCTTAACTTGGATAACATAAGATAACCATTTGGTGTATTTTACTTCAGAAATAAAGTTGGAAATGAGTGGGCTTGGACCATGCTCATGGTGGCTATATCTTTTTCCGAGGATTATCGTTTCCTTCTTTGGGCTACATACCAAACATAATGGTTAATATTTAGTTGGTATCATGCTACGCAAGGATAAGTGATGGAGCTATTGAACACCTGGATATTCCTACCTTCATTTTGCATGTGGTCTTTTCTCAAACCCAGTCCTACAAATACGCTGGTGTACATGACGTCACACGAACTTCCATTGTCAATAAGGATTCTTGAGACTGTGCGGTTATCCATAGTGGAGGTTACCACAAATAGAAGCGTCATGTTATGGATCCCTTCCAACTTCTCTCTATATTGGAACCCTATGATGAGTATTTCTTTCTCTTGATTTTATTCTATTGTCTATGAGTTCGAGGAATTTTCCATCAAATGCTTCTTGTCCAACTCTTCCTTACTATAAGATCTTATATCAATGGGGGGACACAAGAAGTTTTCCTGATGATATCAAGGTAGGTGATCGGGAGGTGACTCTGATAATCAGATCAAATATTGTCATCCCAGATCGTACGATATCATTTTTAGTGAGATGTGACTTTTAAAATTGGACGAATTTGATATGAAATTTTTTTAGTAACAAAAGTCAATTCTCAGAGACGACGTCATTGTTCCGAGGTGGAAGAAAAAATATGTGTAATGAAGGAATGCGCTCTTTAGGTGCGGATCCTAGAGCTTCTGGTATGGTGAAGTGGAGAGGACCTGCAAGGTTAACACTCCAACGCCTAAGTTAATGAAGTTTCAAAATTGTTGTTTTAAAGTGCGGATGAGATAATACTTGTAAATAGTGTGTGGTGAGATTTATATATGTCATTTAGTTGGAATTTCCCCTGTCTAATTCAGCATGTGACGCGCGGATCCGTCCAATCATATCTAACGACATGAGATGTTTTGCATTGGAATAAAGTATCCTTCACGTTGAGGAAGCTTCACCTGTCCACCCATACTATTTGGTAAAGTTATGGATTTAGCCTTTGCTTTGAATCTTTGGCCAACTCAGCACACTTATTTATTTTAAATTAAAAGTTTTGAACTTTATAAGAGACATGTAAATACATAATTTAGTAACTCTATATCAAGGTCTTCGTAACCTAAGACATAAATTATTGACTTTTTTCTATTTTATTTGGATTCCCTTACCTCAGTTGGTGATTTTGTGTTTTTTATTTACAAATTGGAAAAGAAATATAATTAGTTTTTGTTTTTTAATTTTAAATTTTTTAAAAATTAAAATGAATTTAAATTTTACTTTATCAAAATTATAAATGACAAAATCAATATAAAATTTTACATTCATGATAAACATATTTTAATTCAAATAATTTATAAAATACTTAATCATTATTAATATATAATAAAAAAAAGTTAATAGTGGTTAAAAGTTGTTGTTGTTTGTATATATAAGAGTGGTGATTGTTAGTCATTAAAGTGATAGTAGTTAATGGTGATGATTAATGATAGGTTGTAATTAGAGCTGTTAATATGGGTTATTCGGTCTTAAACAAATCGATTCTGATGGGTTTTGGTTTTTTAGGGTTGGGTCAAAAATATTCTAGGAAATTTTTTGTACATCTCTTAGGGGTGGAAAAAAAAATCCCTAAAAACCCAAAAATACTCTTCGGAGATATATCCTCGAACGCACCCCAAATCAAAGTATTTCAGAGATGCATATCCGAAAGCACCTAAAATTATTTTTAGAATGAATTCAGAAATGCACTTCCGAGATTATCCCAATAGATAATTAACAAGTTCCAATCTCAATGGATTTGACTACACCAAGACCAATTAGTAGTTATATTGATAAACAACCATGAATTTCTAATCCACTTTAGCAATATAACTCATTTGTGGTACAACGAGATTTTATAAGAAACAAAGTGGAGTTAAATAAAGAGCTTTCATGGAGAAATCTTCTATCTTAGGTTTAATTCCAATAAGATTTCTAGAACCTCTTCTAAAGAACTTGTGGCGTCAATCATCTACAGTCGAGGTGATATCTTTTTTATAATAACTGTTAGATCCCAACTCCATAGTCGGTACAATCAAGAGTCAATTTAGATTAAAAGTAAACTCATAGTTATACAACTTTAGATTTTGCTACCTTTTCTTAGAACGATGAATATAGACTATAGAGCACATTAAAAGGTTAACTATGCAATGCATCATAATGAACTCCACAAACTTCAACCGTTCCCTTTATCTTTGATAGGAACAACATTTAAGTGATATCCCTCTATTCCACCAAATTAAATGCAAATCTGAGCAAAAATGAAAATGTGTTTCCATGACAAATAAGGGGTTGTTTCATAAGCGTACTTCCGAAAATACCCTATTTTTGTTTAAAATAAGAGGTTGTTTCGAAAGTGTATTTCCGAAATATTCTCTGATACAGGATAAAAATTCTTGGTCTATTTCAGAAATACATCTTCGAAATAACCCCAGAAAAATGAAATTTCGTAACTTCGATAATGCATCTCCGAAATAATTCCAGAAAAAATAAATTATGGTGCATTCGGAGATACATCTCCAAATTCTAGGAGGTAAAAATGAAATTTCGCTAGAAATAGCTAAGAAGGTGTAAAGGTAGGGAAAGAAAGTCTCAAAGCTCTATTGTATTATGGGCTTAAAAATTATTATTCGAACCCGACCCTAGATAGACTTCAGGCTATTGGGTCCTAAACGGGTTTTTTTAATAAAAAAATTAAAATAAAAAATTCATAATATTTATTATAAATAAAATAAAAAAATTATTTTAAACCTAATATATTTTTAAATATTATATTATCTTTTATAAATACTATGACGTGTTTTTAAATACAATACATGTTTAAATTATAGAAAATAATACTCAAATATTTAACATAAATAAAATTAATAAAATACGAGAAAATAGTATTTAATATATTAATATATAAAATTAGATCAGAGAAAGTGGTAAATAAAATTATGAGAGGGGTTAATAAAAGGGGTCGTTAGTGGATGGTGAGCAACCATTTTTTTTTAATTTTAAACATAAATTTCAATTTTAACAATAAAATTTAATTTTAAACTTAAATATTAAAATTGAAAACTCACAACCACTCGATACCCAAACAGACCCTTAAAAACATTTTTTTCTTGAAACTCTCATACATTAAATGCTAATATAAATAAATAAATATGTATGTTTCAAATCTTGAGCCCTGCATATCAAATGTATTTACATTTTTTCCCCTATGAAATGTAATTTAATTGCACATCTTACTATTTTAATATTTATTGACTCAAAGTGAGTTTAACTAGAGTTCAATTAATTAATTATACTTGTGTTAATTTGATTCACAGGTAACATCCTTCCAGTGCGGGGGTTTCGCAATTGGCATCACAACCAGTCATACATGCTTTGATGGACTTAGCTTTAAAACATTCTTAGAAAACCTTGCATCATTTGCTTCTAACACACCATTAGATATGACACCATGCCATAATAGACAACTCTTAGCCGCACGATCTCCTCCACGTGTTAGCTTCCCCCATCCCGAGATGGTCAAACTTGATAATATAACTAAATCGAGTGTCTTTAAAGCCTCCTCAGAAGAACTTGACTTTAAAGTTTTTCGATTAAACTCTAAGCATATCAATACCCTTAAGGAAAAAGCAAAGGGTAACAACAATGTTCGTGTCACGAGTTTTAATGTCATCAGTGCACATCTATGGAGATGCAGGACGTTATCTGGCACGTGTGATCCTGATAAGTCATCGACTATACTATATGCGGTTGACATACGTTCCAGATTGAATCCTCCATTGCCGAAAGGATACATCGGGAATGCGATTTTAACTGCATACGCTACAATGAAGTATGAGGAATTAAAGGAATGTGAATTCTCGAGGTTGGTGGAGATGGTTGGGGAGGGTTCAAGAAGAATGAATGATGAGTATGCAAGGTCAATTATTGATTGGGGAGAGTTGTATAATGGTTTTCCAAATGGGGAGGTTTTGGTGTCTTCATGGTGGAGGTTAGGGTTTGAAGAAGTGAAGTATCCATGGGGAAAGCCAAAGTATTCTTGTCCAGTGGTGTATCGTAACAAGGATATTATATTATTATTCCCTCCTTTTCATGGATCAACTGAAGGTGGTGATGATGGAGTAAATATAATACTGGCTCTTCCTCCTAAAGAAATGGAAAATTTTCAAAGCCTCTTTTACACGTTTTGAGTTGATCTATATATAAATGTGTGAAAACTAAGTGTACTACCATTATGACATGGTTAGTGATATATATAAGCAATTAAATATTGATGTCATACATTAGTAGTTAATGAAATATTTTGTAAGATCAATATATGTGTGTAATATTTTCGTTGCATTTAATGTCACTATTTCCTCAATGAAACTTATGAACCGTGTTGATGACATTGTTCAGCAAGTTTACATTTTTGACTCATCAACTCTTCTGAATCAAAATCAAAACGTGTTTCCAAATTAGAATAATTCTCGAAGCAACAAAAACCATTGAGTTTCATTAGATACTTTCTCTTCGCAACCACAATCCACACAATAAGATCTACAAAATGAACTTTAACAATGTTAACTTCAACAACATCAAAAAGATATTGCACTTGCAACAACAATAATTACTTCTTCTACTGATTTAGCACCGATTAAAAATTAACTAATTTATTTTTATTAAGTCTAGAAATAAAATTGATAATTTTACTCTTATTCACTCTGAATTGGCTTCTGACTTCAACATAAAACTTGTAACTTTTTGTCTTAGTTTTCCATAAATTAGGTCGTTGTTGTTAGAGTCCAATTTTCTTTATTATTTAAGTTAAACTCAACATTAAGGAAAGATGGATAGTTTTTTTACGAATTAGAGAGCATTAGAATTACATGGTCGACTAAACTCCATGGTTAATCTACTATTTTGTAATTTCATCAAGACTTTGAGGTTATTATATTATCCAGTTTTTATTCAATTCATTTCAATCATGTTTCATGTATTCTTGTTTTCTTAATTCGATTTTCAGAGAATACGATTGATTAAATTTTATCGATGCATGTTCCTTAATTTCGCGTGTTAACTTAACTTATTCGTTAACTTCGCTTGTGTCGTGGCACAAAAATACCCGAACGTACTAACGCTCGAAATAAACAAAAGAGTTGCCACCAAAATTTTATTTGAAGAGAAACATCGATAAAACCTTTAAAGGAAGAAATGATTGTCGCGAGCAAATCGGTTTCGGAAGTCGGTTATGCGAGAGGAATGTATTAACACACCTCACATCTGTTGTACACAATAAGAACCTTCTAATAGGCCAGGGTTAAAGTGTTCTAAGAGAATGTTTGTAATTCTTTAGTTGTTTATGTATTAAAAATATTGAAAAGGGGGAGTAAAAGAGGAAAATGTTAGTGTTTTACTATTACGCTCGCCAAGGTTTCAGAACCATGTGCCTACGTATTTCTAGGTGCAATGAGAAATTCGGAGCCTCGTAGTTCGTGCAAGATTATGCTCTAATCAACAAAATCTTATTTTTACGCCCTTAACTTTTCCCAGAACGTATAATCAAATTTGAGTCCCTTCTCAAAAATTCATCTTTTCAGGTTTTCATCTGAGCATAGTTACCGCCACCTAGATGAAATGCTCAATATACTTGCATAGGGTTTCCTTATTACCTTGTGTGACTCCACTAAGCATGGACATAAGTCTTTTGGACCCCTTTCTATTCGTGAAATGGGCAGTGAAAGCCTCACATAAGTCAGACCAAGAATTTATACTTTCATCTAGAAGAGATTGTACCAGGCTAGGGTTGATTCAATTAGGGATGGTGCAAAGAGCTTTAACTTCAAGTCTTTATCAGCATAATAGTAGTACATATGATTGTCTGCATGCAAGACATGTTTATCTTAATCTATAGTCCCGTTATAACTTTAAATCCTTGGAGGGTTCTCTAGTGACTTTATGATTTTGTTGTTCGAGATGCGAGCGGGCATGAGGTTACTCTTCTGCGGCTAGACGGAAGCATCTTCTTCATACATTTCCTTCCTCCTAGGATGGAAAACTTTAGGAATACTGTGGTTACCCCTCCTTCCTTCAAGATCAACGGAAAGAGTATGACGTGTGTGTCGTCAGTGCCTTGGAGACTTTTGGATCCCTTCTCAACTCAAAAATGGCGATTTTTTTCGAAGCCACCTTTTGTACAATGTTGTTCCTCGAATTCATATTGTGTAAAGTTTTTTCAATACGAGATTCTCTACAAAGGTATGGGAGTTTTGTTGTTGAACTATTTGGTAGACGTTGCTTAACAATTTCTTGGCTCCATGCAAGCAAGATTAGCCTAGAAGAGTTGAAAACATGGAGCGTTTCTCGTTCGGAAATTGTAGGCGGGAGTAGAGGTTTGAATGAAGGTCCACTAAGGTGGAACTACAATACACCTAGGTTAGATGCTACTTGATATGGTTCAGATGCTACTTGATATGCCCTAGGTTAGACATAATTTTACAGTGGGGGAATGGAAGAAGCAGTTACTACTATTTAATTGTATGTCCCTAGAGGAGAGGCATTTGATTCTTTGCAGATACAGCGGCTTGTCATTGGACGGTAGAGCATGTGGCTTTGGAAGCCGTCGTCATTGACGCGTCTGATGGAGGAGAGTTTGAATTCAAATTTAATGGAACTAATCAAGAAATAGTGATATGTGCTTCAATCGAATGAGGTCTAAATTTCTATCAAAGGTGATCCATTTAAATCGAGAAAAGTTAGATCGTGGAAAATCACAAGAATCATAAGTTGATTCTCACATACGACATCAATTTTCTGAATTGGAATTAGATTCAATTGGAGAGGATGAATCATTGATCTATTGTGGTAATTCAGAGTTTCCGATACAATGGATAAGAGATTGGCCTGCAAAGTTTGCATTTCGACACTCAAATCAATAAAAGATTGAAAAGTAAAGTTTGAATGAGAAAAGATATGAATATTTGAAAATGGCGCAATCTCTCTTTTAAACGGGAGAATTGGTTAGCAACCGAACGCGATTGATGAAGCGTGACATGCGGCTAGGTGTTTATGAGCTGGTTTGGTTCGATTTTGAAAGAATCTGATACCCAAACGGATCAAAAATATATGGATCGTTTTGGATTGGAATTTCATATATTTTTTCGATAAAATCCAAACCAAAAAATAACGGGTTAGATTGATCGAACACATGAAACAAATGTGCAAAAATATTTTTAGAAAATATATCTTACATCAACTAATTTTATATAATAATATAAAAATAAAAAAAAATTGTTTTTTATATAGGTTGTGATTGTCACAAAGGGTGTTTCATATTTTTTCTTGAAGTTGAATATTTTATACTAATTTCTATAATAATGATGATATAAATTATATCAATTAATATGATTGGTTCGGGAGGACGGACTCGCGGATAGATTTTTTGAAATCTAATGATCTAACCAAGTAATATCAGGTTTCATTGGTAGTTTGATTTTTATCGGAAATAAAAAAAATATCTGACCCAAACACCTTAATTTAATTTAGATTTTAATTTGGTTCGAATTTACCAGAACCAATGATAAAACTTGGAAGAAAGATTACCTATTTGGTGAAATTTGATGGGGAAAAAAGTCCACCTATTGTGCCTCAAGTGTCGCCCTTCATCATTATTGGATTTTTGTGTCTTCAAACCTTATGGACAATCCAAAACAATAATCATATTTAGACTTTATATTTTACACTTATATACTTGTTCGAATAATACTATTCAGATGAGATAAAAAAAATTTAAAATTTATAGGATTTGAGAAACCATGGAGGTGTATTTAGCATCCCAAAATTTTAATTTGCTTGTAAAAACAGAATGAATTGGTATGTCAAGTCGTTAAAAAGTTGTGTATTCTTTTTTTCATCTTATTAGTTTATTTTCTTGCTATAGCATAATAATAAAACTTATTAGGGGTTCGTTTCATGAAATAAAAAATTATCGTTAATAATAAATTTTCTAAAAATTAAGAATGAAAATTGATCTTATCGGATCAGAGATGGACTGTCACAGCTGACTCGGGCAGAAGTTGAGTTAGATGAGGATACCTGCAAGACACTCCGATGACAAAGTAAGAAGCGGAATGAGCAAGCAAGTAAGAGTTCTGAGATATCAGTTGAATACCTGACTCTCTCAAAAGAGAGGGTATTTATAGCCCCCAGCGTTGGACCAAGGTCTCTTTATTGGGCTGATCAAACAGGCCCAACAAAGAGACTGCCAGGTTCTACGTGTGTAGTGGGGACCCGCACGTGACCCCCTACCTGGATAACGTCCTCCGCAAGACAGGGAGGATATAGACGCTATCTTTCCGAGACCATGAAGACTCCGCGAAGTCTGGAGAGGTTGGAAGTCAGTCTTACGAGGAAGGTGCTCGGGAGGAGCGCGTGCTCGTCGGGGATGGTCTCTGCGAGCACCAACGGGAAGCAGTCATGGTCGACAAGACATCTGTGATCGGGATGTGCTCGGTGGAAATACTGCTCAGCGCAGCAGGTTGGCAAGCTTGGATTGGGCCTCACTGATAGTTGGACCAAGGGCAGGCCCAGTCCAGAATAGGAACCCCCTAAGTCGTTGCTCCTGGTGAAGGAGTTATGACTTGATTCAAGTTCGCCCCTTCGCGGAACTAGCTGCGCGACACAGGGTTTTTCTACCATGGATGGAAGATGTCGCCTGGTTCATGATTTGCTTCGTGCAGCGGTCGAAGAGTGTTCGAGGAGTACTTGTATTACGCCTGGTTGTTCGAGGTTGGAAATGAGAGGGTGAACGAATGCTCGATCACCACGCCTTCCTCGTTTTCGAGGAGGATCCCCGCACCGCTCATGGTCGAACTAGAGGCTCCGTCGACAAAGATGATCCACTTGTGCTCCTTACCTGCGGGGGGTTATGAGCGGTCATCTCCGCGATGAAATCGACCAGAGCCTGTGCCTTCAGGGCCTTCCTGCTCTCGTACTGGACATCGAATTCTGAAAGTTCCAAGGACCATTTCAACATTCGACCCGCCATGTCTGGTCGACCTAGGAGCTGTTTCACGGGCTGGTCTGTTTGCACAACGATCGCGTGCGCAAGAAAATAGTGGCTGAGCCTTCTCGCTGCATTGACGAGGGCCAGAGCCACCTTTTCTATCTGTTGGTACCTAACCTCGGGCCCTTGAAGCGCCTTGCTCGTGAA